AAAGTTAAAGTCATCACGTTTATCATAAAGCTTGGTTGTTAGACTATCATTAATGTCTTTTTCAAGTAAAATATCCAAATATATTTACATCCACTGAATATTTTCTCCTAATTCTAAAGAAAACCATTGCCGTTTATCAGTTCATGAACAACACTAGGCATATCACCTGTACAGATTTCTGATCAGTGGCTGTTCCATCAATGAAACGTACTATAACGTACATATCAATAATTAATCTTTTTATTCCTACTTTAAATGATTATTTAAACGGATATAAATATAAACAATAAAATGTCTTTCTTTGGTTGTTAGTACGGGAATTACCGTCGCAGCTATTGCAGAAAAAATTTACATAACCCGCTTACGTGGGTTATGTATTTTTTCTGCAACAGCTGCGACATTAATTCCTATACTAACAACCACAGAAAGCATTTTATTGTTTAAATGAAACAGATGTGTCAGACTCTGTGGTATCTTTTATCTCAAGCTCACCGGGATATATCGTATCGACATAAGAATGGAATAACCATTGTTAATTGACAATACGTCGTCGATATATATAAATGTCGAGTTGAAGGCCACAGCAAGTGTTTTCTTCTTTTCACATAAAAGATTTTTGACAAATTCTGCTTCATATGAATACAAAAAGTTCTGCTAATAACGGGGCGCAATTGGTACCCATGGGAATTCCAATAGATTGTTGAAAGACCTAGTCTCCAAAAAAATCACATAGATATTGTCAATCAGAAGCTCAAGCATTTTTTTAATGTCAACTTCAGAGTACTGATCATGTAATCTATCTAATTCTTTTTTCACTTCTGGATTATTGAATACAGAAGGATAGATGGTTCTCATATATTGCACCTCAATCTTTTAATGCGTGATTTTAACATTCATCTGATACATTTAATCCATTCTGACAAAGTGTCAAGGTCTTCTTTTTCAAGTCTGGCTCATCGCCTGGCGTAATCCTCTACAGAATCCATAATATTTATGAAATTCCGACGCCAGTTGAAGGATAGGGGTTCCCTATATTTAGGACCTTTTAAAATTAATGATCTAAGGTACTCATTATTAACTATATTTACGTCACCAGTAATAACGTGTCCAGCAGGACTATAGGTATAGGGTGAAGAAGAACATGAACACGATGGAGGATTATGTTTCAGATAATCGATACTTAGGCCCTGTAAAGTTTTCTTGTAGTTAAGAAGTTTGGAAGCAATAGTCGATGTATATTTGTAGGAAATACAAGGTGTAGTCTTTAACTTGAAATATGGTGGATATATTAACCGCGTCAATTCCTTTGTTGGCATGTTGAAGTTTAAGGAAAAAAACGGATTGCATTTTCTTCAGTAAAACGCGGGGGTTTAAAAAGCCTATGATTTGCAATATCCATAATCACAGATCCGAGCCTATATTCTGGAGTCGAGGAATCAAAAAATGGACTTTCCTTGACCTTTTCAAGAAGACTATTTAAAAGTTTCAAAGGGACAGAGTAAAGTTTGGTGCGAATGTGATGAAGACCTAACTGTTGATTTACGTAAGGTAGTAATGAATCAAAAGAGACATCGTGTATTAAAGGTTTATTGTAAGACCGGTGCCCATGAATACGCTTACGTTTCTCTGTATGGTTAAAAAGTCCCATCACATTTACATTGTTACACTGTGGACTGGAAAGATTTCCAACACTATCGACATTATCATTACATCCATAGGGAAAGGCTGTCCCTAGTTTTCTAATCCAAAATTCTTCTCGTTGTCTACGGAAAGGTGTACTCAGTGATGGACTGTTTGTGTGGTGGTAAATCTTTTCTAGAATTCTAACTTTCATTGACAAAATAGAATGCATGGCCGTAGGAACCGCCCCCTCCCCCCCCCCCCCAATAATTTTGCCGATATATAGATTACTATAGAAATCATAGATAATGTGTGCTTGTGCCCCCTCAATAAAAACGTCTGATGACCTTTTTTTTTTCCTTTTTTGCCTGTTAAGGAAATTTGGTAGTTGATGTTTTTTTTGTTTGTTTTTTTTTTTTGTTTTTTGTTTTTTTGCTTGTCAGGAAATTTTTGGTAGTGCCCCCTCAACGTTAACTGAAAAATGTATGGCTATGCCCCCCCCCCCCCCCCAACTGAAGTTGCTTCCTACTGGCCTGGAATGATCAGGTAAATTAAAATGCTTGTATAAAAGCTGCTGACCCCCATTATTTATATGAAATCTATGATCTGATATTCTTTTATGATCGAAGTGATCCTTTGGTTCACCAACATAAACAAGTCCACAAAGATTACATTCTATTCCGTAGACAACATTAGAAGATTTGCAGTTCAGATTTTCCCAGGTTTAGGTATAAAAACTCTGTCCAGTAAGATTACTGGTGAAAGAAGTGTTAGTTATCAAAATGTCACAGGTTGTACAGTTTTTCGCAGAACATTTTGAAATAGAAGACATGAGATCGAAAAAGGAATCTTCAAATATATCTCTAATTGAAACTTTACATTCTTTCAATTTTTTGTATGAACTATTGGTTTTATACCAAAACTGGGGATCTGAAGATTGTACATATGACATATGTTTAATATCCCTGAGGATTATCCGTACATTTTCTTTAAACTTTCGATAGTTAAAGGACTTATCGCATGTTTCTAAATTATTTGAAATTAAAGGCGTAAAACGTTCCTTATGACAACAGTTTATAAATTTTGTGTTTTTACTGGGGATAAACCGCGGTAATAAACCAATTATTGACTCAAATGAAAATCCCTGAATTAAAAATCTAAGTTAATTAGATAGCGATCACGTGACCCTGTGACGTCAAAGGCGACAATGGCTGATCAGCTATTCACGTAAATCTTACTAAAATATACGCGATACAACCTGAATTTTCTGCTTTTTGGATGACCAAATCACTGTATTTATCGTTATGAAATTTAATATCCAACCTTATATTTTAGAATTGTCAGCAAGAAATAATCTGAAAAATCCGTTAACATTGTAAAAATAGCAGCGACGATAAGGAGGGAGACGCGGCGAAGACGAAGAAACTCGCCATCACAATACAATTTGATTTGTCATTTTATTACATGCATTAACTTATTTGATTCACAAATTTAATATTAAATAACTTTGTTATTCTTCGTTTTTAACATAATATTAATTTATGCAAGTATGCTTTCATATGTTTTGTAAAGGATGGCGGTCTTGAAAAATAATTTTCCGATCACGAAACATTGCCGTAATCAGACCTACAGATTCTAAATGTTTGGAATAAAAAACGAAAATATCTCAAAATTCTTATACCTTAGAACTAGTTAATGTTTCTATAGTAATTGAAAATCACGTTAGGAATTAATTTTTTCAGCATTTTTCATAATTAAGCTGCATTTGTCGTTGATAACTTCGTAAATAGTGTGCAACTTCTCTTCTCTCTATCACTGAATTGTCGCCTATGACGTCAGAGCAGTATTTCGCCGAAATCCGACTGAAATATGCATATTGCCGTATTTGAATTTCAACTCTCAATATCTCTTAAAATATGCCTTCAACAACGTTTATTGTATTCAGAATTTTAATAAACAAGGTTGTAGATAATCTTTTTCATAAAATTAAGATTTTTGAAAAATCATGCGATAAGTCCTTTAACATTACTGAGTAATTGAACTGATGTTCATGAGATGACACTGCTACATACTGCAAGCACTCAACAACTTAAGTTAGGCAACGTTTCTTTGGAATAAATATTATATACTACCAAATTCACAACCGATTTATCTAATATTCTCATGCCAACAGAATCACTTCTGAAATGGGTAAAATCCACTTTACACAGAGGGGTGACCATTGAGAGATCCCTGAGTGTTGCAAACTTGGGCAGATTTCTCAATCTCTCAGGATCTCCCACGTCTCCGTGGTCTCTTCAAAGCCAACCAAGACAGTCATTCAGCGATCGCAAAGGTAACCAGTCTCTTAAAAAACGGCTAGAGAGCGTAGAAAGATCACCCGACGAGCTCTTGGATATCCCAGTGATCATTCAGAGTCATTTCACAGAAGGATCAGCTCCCCTCCCTCTCTTTATTCACAGGAAATGAAATTTTTGGCCAGACATTATGGCCTAACCCTAGCCCAAAAGAGTCGTGACATTGCCAAACTTGAACCTACGGACATATCAGTATGGCTAATATGCCCTAGCTGATCTAGAGGCGATTTTCAAAAGATTTTTCCTGATATCGAGGAAATTTTCAAAAGATTTTTCTCTGTACACATGCATTATTTGATTTCCAATACGATGGGGGCCCACCCTACTTCTGAAGGTCATTTTTATTTGAACAATCTTAAATCTGCACTACTCTGAGGATGCTTGCATGTGAACCCACCCTACCCATGCGATCATGATTTTGCACTGAGGATGCTTGCATATTAAATAATTGATACGATTTATCGTGACCCTGCTTTTCGTGAGAATTTTTTTCTATATATTACTACCCCAAGGAATTTTACTCAGCACTACCTTAGGATATTTGCATATACGAGTAGTCACAGCCATCCTACTATATGGCTATGAGGTGTGGGGTTATTCCATTATTCCTTCAAAGAGGTGTCCCTCTTCATTTGAACAAACTTGAATCCCTTCTCCACCCCCCCCCCCCCCAATCCCCATCTTATCCATAGCAGAGGTCCCATGTAATTAAGTCATGTGTTTGATGCCGTTCTCACTATATACATGTACATGTCAGTCATCTTCGCTATCCAAGGGTGACGATCCGCTCCTCTCCTATTCTCAAAAAGAGGAGAGGAGCGGATCGTCACCCTTGGATAGCGAAGATGGTATGTCAGTGAGCTCTTATAAAGAATACCAACATGCCAAGCTTGGTTGAAACTGAGCAACACATTTTGATTATTTGTTTTACTTCCCCCAATCATCCACACCTGAATACATTCACTTTTATCCATTCATTTTGTCTACATTCTTTTCAACTGGAATACAAACTAAAAACATGTATCCTGTGATAAACAACTTTAATGCATAAAGCAGTTAACACATTTTCCTCACAAATTGGTAATGGTCAACCTTTCACTTAGTACTTTCTTTCATTTCTCCATGAAACAAATCTGAAAGCCCTTAACAAGAGAATAACATTTAAATGGCAACATACACACACACACACTCTCTATCTAAAGATTATAATTATAATTACTATAAAAAAAAAAGTTGTTTTGTTGATTCACCTATGTGGAGGAAAATGGTACAAAGGAAATAACTTACTACATGTATTTTTTTTCTTCTTTTCACATGCAACACACTAACACACTATCAATATTGAGCAGAAAAAGAACACTTTTTGTTACCCAGTAAAGAAGGTAGTAACTAAAGATTGAAATTTACTTCCTAGAATTTGAATGTCAATCTTCACTGATATATAATAACAGGATTTCCTTGAAAGCATTATAAATATTACATTAACTTTTTGATGTTCAGAGCTTTTTAAAAAAGACCCCTTAAGGCTCTTAAGACTCTCACTGTTACTTGAAATCAAACTGCACAAAAAATAAATACTGATAATATAAATTAATTCTGACAGGTTTAGCTACTATTACTAAAAATTATTCGACACCAACTGTCAAAAGTTCATATATATTGATAGATATTCAATCAGTTTTTCTGCAAGTGACCTGCACATCAGAACATTTACAATGAGGTTTGTCATTTACAACAGCATTTAAATTTCTTTGAAAATAAAGAAAAATTCTCTTGTATACTTTCAAATGTAAAAATACATCCTTGGTGCAATCTTGGACTGTTTTACCAAAGTTAAAAAAAAAAAAACAACTTAGTATTACCTTTTTTTGTTTTGTTTCATTTTAACTAAAGACAAATAAAATTGTCTGTGTGGTTTAATCTACATTTGTTATAAATGAATCTGAAGTCTGACATGAGCATAGTTCCTTTCAATCATCTATATCAGTTGGACAAGTTAGATTTGAAGATATGACATTCACGATAGAACAATGATATCTTACCAACTAGCAACTTCAAATCAAATGTATGTATCGCTAATAATGAGAAATAATGCCCATTAAAGCAGTAAAAAGGACCGACTGTTCTGTAGGTTTTACAGACACATCAATGAATGAAATAAAAGTAACATGAATGGCAAAAACACAGAAATGGCATTCTCAATGAATAATCACATTTTTAAATACATGTGTGCATACTAAGACACTCATACAATATGTATCATTATCTCTCTTAATATGATAATATTGATGTGTAACCATTGCAGATTTATTTTATTAATCTTTCACAAACATCTATTTGTGTGGGTTTTTTTAATGGAGGGATAAAATTCTAAAAGAAAATGTTTTAGTGCAGTTTCTAGTCCATGAAGGAATTTACACTAAGTCGTATGATTTTTTATCTCTGTCAAAATGATAAACCTCTTAAAAAACAACACATTTAACATTAGTTATATATATACATGAGCATATATATAAAAAATGTTCTTCCTGTTTTATTTAATATATAAATCTAAGCAGAGTATATATTAAACTAATTTAAGTAAACCATAAACTTGCAAAACTGGATTATAAATATGGATAATGCTATATTATAAAAAAAAAAAATTTAAAAAAATTGTTTAGATGCGTGTAATTTTTTTTCTTTTAACAATCTGATGCCTTTCTCCATATTGACAGTATCCATGTTGATATAAAGATAATTTTTTTTCATAGCAAATATCACATTCAGCTTGGATTCTTTAACATAAGCTAATCTGGTATCTACAGAAAATTGATGTTAGGAACAGCCATAATCAACATTTAAAACAGACGACTTTTCTTCCTGGATGGTGAATCAAAGGGTGTATTATCTGGAGATGAAGTTCTCTTTCTTGCAGAGTCATAATTACGAGAAAATTCATCTAGAATAAATCTGTTCAGTTCCTCCATGTTCCCACTACTCCTGGGTATAGCTCCGATTTGGGAGGGGGCAGTAGCACCTGGGGGCATACTGAAGCCCATACTGATGTTAGACATTGCACCATTTAAACCTGTAATAGTATGATATTTATTATCAAATCAGGATCTATGACAAAGTAATGTAGAATTGAACATATTCATTTGATTTCTTAATTCATAATTGAGTTTGTCCATTTGCTTTTCAGCTCCAATAAATGTCAAAAATAACCATAGTTTGACCATTGTCTTATAAAAGGTACTGCAACACTATCAAAATCTGTCTGAAGTTTATGTCACTTCAGAAATATAAAATCCTGTGTATTACAACATTATGAAGGTAAACATTATAGACCAAATATATACTGTGTCCCTAATAATCCCTAAACTTGCTTTGTTATTAGTGTTAGGCCACAATGATAAAATCACTTGTAGAGTGTATGCCTTTCTGCAACTGAGTGAAAAAATGAAAAGCCTCCCTCCCCAGCAAACTGTAACTACATATTTTACTATTTGTAATTAATATGGTGTTAAAGTTTGTACAATGATTTGAAGAACAAATGTGAGTGAAAAATTAAAACTGAATTGAAAATAATTTCTAACCTTTTCTATTGGAGGAAAAAAAAAATCTTTTCACCTACCTACACCAAAGATTTGATCAAGGAGAAAAACAAGAAAATTCCACAGATAGCCTTAGTATGTATCAGTCAAATATGGTGTTAACAAGATGCAATCATTTTGTTTTTCTTTCAACTTTATATCAAGTATAAATAAAGAAATTGATCCATACCTTGGAGTGCAATGGCTTCTCTAAATGCCTGAAGATCTGGTTCAGTTCCGGAGGACAGATTCTCACCTCCCTGTAGACGAGGTGAATGCGTTCTCTCTACAGAAAGCCTTGACGACTGGGAGTGCCTCACCATAGAAGAAGCATGTCTATTTCTGGCTGGGGGAGTTTTGCCGCACAAGAAAGCTAAAAGATCTTCTCTACGAATGTTACGACGTTTCTTTTTCACCCAGGCCACAATGTCTCTGTTTCTGTGCTGTTTTCCCTTTTGTATACCCAAGTCCACACAAGTATGCAGTGAATCTACCCCATCTGAAAATTATACTGTATATATTATTATTCTTAGGGATTTACATCTTTTTTTCCTTCTCAGTTGATGAACTTTAACTTCCAAACATTACACAATATCAAATGCAGTTAAAAATGGAAATGTCCTTTTCCATAATGGCAGTGCTTCTTTTCATTCAGTTGGAATTTAGTCATTTATAGACAACTTGTATACATCGTAGAATGTTGGAATTACTATAATAGAGTATGTTAGTAACTAGCAAATTTAGCAATTTTACTCTTAGGCCAAAATAAAATTACTGTTTGTTCAGAATTTCCCCTCATTGAAATATCATCCTGGAAAAATTTTATTGACAAAAAAAGACGACTTTTTAAATTTATACAATGCTTAGTCTGTTATCATAAGCACCCCCCAAAACACTCAATTAGCTTCAGATCCAAGCAAAAACAGGGTTCTTGGCATAATGGGAGATACTTTTTACAAAAAGTCAGAAAATAATAGGTTCCCTGTTTATTGAGATTCTTCTCACCAGTTTTTAATTCAATCTAATTAAAATTAGACCTGACCATCAAAATAAAGGAGTTAGTGAAAGGTTTGATTTTAATCACACTGTTTTTAATTTAACTTCAATTTGCTGAAAATAATAAGTTCCCTCCCTTATTGGTCTGCATCAATTCCAAACAAACATTTTTTTTTAAGGATGGCCTTAATGTAGTTTATATTTTACTGATTTTATGGATAATTCTATTAATTTTTTTTTTTAGACAATTATGATATATGTGACTGAATGATTAGCAACCTTTAATTTTTTATGTTTGTTAAATGGTTAGAATCTCCCTAAAAATTCCTGTTATATGGTGTTAAATTTTTTCCCCCATTATTTTGCAAAAGAAATTACTTAAACTTACTAAAAATTGTCTGGAGAAAAGATTAATTAGAAAAATAATACAAACCTTTGAACAAACTTGTAACATTTGATGCAGCGTTCTGAAATGGGACCCATAATGAGAGACCTTGATGTCGATCTGAAATACAAATTTGCATAAATTAATAAAAGTTTAAACAACTTAATATCAATGTATGTTGGTACATCATTGTTATCGGTATTCTCCAATTCTTAAAAAAGAATTCATCTGCTTTCGAAAAAAATTATGGGGAAGCACTTATGTGGGAGAGACTTTATTATAAATTTAATTATTTCAAATTAGATTTTAATCGGACTCCATCCTTTGATATTTTCTATATTTTTTTTTTTTTTTTTTTTTTAAATTTTTTCAACCATGTTTATACAAACTAGGGATGGGTGTTGCCAAACTTTCTATATCGAGATATATCACGATTTTTACAGGAAATATCCTAATAATCATGATAATAATATAATATTTTTGAATGCAATTTTTACTGTGATTTTAAATGAATTTCCATAATTTTTCCTATAAATATGGTGTGAAAACATAACTTCACCTTTTGGTTTTTATCTATATATTGATAAGGCATATGTCTTAATGCTAGGATGTCATTGTTTTACCATTTTACAAATTTCTTTTTACACTATGCAAAAGTTTGAACAATAAAATTAATTATTTCAGTATTTATTATTATTTTCTTTATACCAGTATTTTAATATCTGTATCACAATAGGTATCACGCAATACTGTTATACCGATAAAATCACGCATCCCTGAAACAGTGCGGGCTTTTAAAATAGTTGATGCCAGGACATAGTAAAATGAATTGGTTTCAACTTTCTGGTCAACTTTAAACCTCAGTCCTGACTAACTCTGTAACTGTAACCAAGTCAACTCAAACACAAAACTTCAACTTGTAACCAGACGGAAGTCAACTTAGAAAAAAGAATCTGATTACGAGTTGATTTCCTTGTAAAACATAATGTTAACTTGTAACTAAATCTTATTTCAATTATAAGCACACAACAACTCAGGGATTTTCCACTGCCCTGTGTAGGGCTGAATAAAGGCCTCATTCCCAATTGCAAAATCCCTCCATTTTTCCCAAAAATGAACCTACAAAGTTAACTTGAACAAAGTTCTGGTAAAAAAAACATGGCCAGGTTTTGGAAATCTGAATGAAATGAACAAAATTTAAAGACACTTGGCTAAAACTTTATTATAATTGATCTATTCTGATTTACATTTCTGAATAATTAAGTAAAAGATCAATTTCATTCATTATAAGTGTTTCCTTCTTTAAAAAACATTGTGCAATAAAATTTCCCAATAAGTGATAAAATGTCATTAAATTCCCAAATTCCAACGGCCTGGGCCCCATTCCCAAAATGGAGTGGAAAATTCCTGGATATTGATAATCAGAAACATCTATTTTATTTGTATTTTAAGTCAACAAGATGTTGAATAATACTTAAAACAATACAATCCATTATCACCAATAGTTTGATTTCATATTGTGCAGTTTATTCTAATAATTTGAAATCATGGTTTAGAGGAAACTTTAAATTACGAATGAATAGTCAGATGAATAGTATATGCAAAAGTTCCAGTATATATTAGGTGATTTAGTGTTTTGTTTGTTTGTTTAACAACCCTTCGAGAATTTTTAACTCATATTGAGATGCCACCACTTGTCAGTGGAGGGCTGCAGATTTAAACTTGTACTACGCACTTGTGATCTTTGAGCAGTGAGGGATCTTTTTCGTGCCAGCATCTCTGCGACACAAGACCTTGGTTTATATGGTCTCAGTTGAAGGACTGATCTCCACATTCCACAGTGGATTGGAACCTGTGACATAAGGATAAACTTCCTACTCTGCAACTCTAGAGCAAATGCTCTAACCACTGTGCCACGCTGGGGACGTGATTTAGTGTAATTTCCAATCAATTTTTGCCTAATGAAGGACTTAACTTCTCCCCTAGAATGCCAAGAGTCAATTCCTTACCAGGGTTACCAGTTGACATTTCTGAACTGACTTGGTTATGAGGTGATCACCTTAGCTGTTAACTTGACACCGATGTATCTTTATGAACAGTCTGGTCTACTGCATCAAAGCTTATACTATGATGAAAATACATACGCGATCAATAATAAGGGTAAATGGATTCCCAGAAAAAATTATCTACGATGAATGGTGACAAGTGCAAATGTGTTTAGGGGCAAATGAACAGAGATTACCATTCCCTCCCCCCTCCCACACACTCAAAGTGAGAAAATTCTGCTCAAAATGGGTAACTTCAGGGTATGAACATTTTGCTGTATGGTTGGTGTAAAACAAACAGTGGGGACATTTTTCCTGGACATACAAAATATCATCTTATTGATAATATTTATACTTTGGTCCATGTTTACCAATTCCACACAACTTTCCATTGTCTGATATTGTACCAGGAGAAAAGCATAATTTACATTATTTCATTATTTGGCATTTTTGAAACACTATTCATACCTTTGTACAACTGAGCAATAGCTGTTGCTGAGTTCTGAAATTGCAACCACAATTTCTGTTCAGCTAATTCTCGTTGTGTTTCAAGAGCTTCCTCCATATTGGCTTCACCGTGAAGATCCTCAATACACTCCTCTTCGAAGCTATTTAGCCAATTATCTGGCAAATGATCATTATGTTCATCTTCTTCGTGTTCCATTGTAATTATTTATATCAATATAAAAGTCTCTCACTTAAATTATTTGCCATATATTCGCTATTTTTGTTTACTTGACTTGGTACTCTGTCCTTTCTGAATCAAAACCGGATGTCAGGTCTGCGCATGTATAAACGTTACATTGTGACGAAAGATTCCGAAAAACGACGGTTTTACGGAACGTAAAATGATGCTTTATTGTGGGAATGAAAAGAATAAGCATTATTTTAATTCGTGAAAGATACCAAAGAAAATACAATGACTGCAAAAGTCACTCGTGCAGAGGGTAAGACAAATTACATTTTTTGACCATCCGTACATTTATAGTATCCCAGACTGCCTCAACGTGCGTCCGCCATCTTGTTTATTTTCATTCGAGATCAAGATTTGCGATGCCTTTTTTGAAAGGCATGATATTTTGTATGTAAGTCCCCTGTAAGGGGTTTATACAGCAGACATTGGGCAGATTGTGAGAAAACAGGCGAAAGTGACCGTTCCGCCAAACAGTCCACAATCTCCTGGGCGAGATCGTAATAAAGCGGTCACTATAAATAATTCCAATAACACCATGAATCATGTGAATGACAATGGTGAAAAAGATAAGACACAAGATGTGGAAATGGATATTGATCAAAAGAAGGGTGTGTTGATGCATTAAAGAAAGTAAAGCTTTCATAAACTGATGTAGTCGTATGTAAGGCTTCAATGGTGTAAATTTTGCAATAGCTTAATTCCTGATTGCATTGCACATTTAAAATGACATTTATACACAATTAATAATGACATCCTGTTGTCCATGTAATCTATTTGTATATATGTATGACTAGGGTATGTTACCTTGTACAATAATTAATCCTGAAGGATGCTATAAATGTAGAACTGCTGTACATGTAATGTATCTGCAGAGTTGACTGTACAGGAAGTTTTGCAGAAAGAAAATATACATTAATTGGATTTAAAATTGTTGAGGTGTATTCAATGGCATTTGAATCCTTTAAAACCATGTTATCATGGATGTTGGTTAAAAATTCTAAGAAACATTCAAAGGATTTTGAACCTGATGGTATGTTTTGGTCTTTTGATTGATTTGCCTTTTTGCTAAAAAGTCAGTTTTAATAGGTAATGTACATAATTATACATGACTTTGTTTTGTCTAAAGTTTTCATCTTATTACTTACAGTCATTCTTTTAAATTCACTTTTGATTGCTGAAAAGCATAAATATAAAAACGTAGCTAGAATTCCTAAATTCAATTCAGTAATATTCATATTCTTTAATTGATGTCAATACAGCACAATCATAATAGATCTTGATGATACTTATAAGAAAAGAAACAATTGCTTAAAAAAAAAGTTTTAGCAAAGACTTATTTTAACTTTTCAAATGACCTTAGTTGTTGGTTTCAAATGAAGTAAAATTCTGGGTTTGATTATGTTGTCCCTATTTCATTTATAACAGAACACTTCAGCCGTGAATGGCACTGTCCTACATCCTGGTATACAAGCAAAGTATATGACTCTACAAATTTGTAATTGAAGTACATTGTTGTTTCTAGTATCAAGCTGTCATATTGCTATTAATAAAACTGGTATATTTGAATATTTGGAGTAAATCAATGTTAAATTTATACTCCAAGTTGTCTTTCTTGAGCAATTTTTGTTGTATCCTGATTATTGTATAGAAACCACTGAGGGCAATAATTACATATTTTTTTTTATGTTTACTGTTTACTTTTTCCAGAGGAGAACAAGGAAGGCGGAGATGATGCCAACATGACTCAGGTAAATGGAGACATCCATGGGAATGGAGCGACCAGTCAGGAAGATGCTGAGATGGAGGAGGGTAAGTGGACCAGTTATTAGACCCATGAAGATAAAAACAAAAATTTGGCAATCTTTAGTAGATTCTTTGTATTATTATTATTATTTCTACTACATGTTTCCATTATAGGGCAGTTAGTCATATTAGACACATGTAACATAGAATGGGTACTCAAAAAGTCTAACTCTTTATTCTTACAATCAATATTTATTTTGATTATGGAATAACATATTAATGGTGCATTTATGAATAGTACACAGAATTACAATGAAGTGCATGGAAGTTAGGGGGTTTCTGGTTTGTTTTGTACAAAGTGACATAACAGACGTTTCTGATTTGCTTGTTGCTGAAAGCTCCATCCTACAATCAATTAATTCTTCGATACAAACAGTGCTGTTTATTTACAATTGTTAGACAGAAACTCCACAACCCCTTTTCTCCCAATTGGTTTAAAATTTGATCTTTCCATGCTAATATTTTAAGTTTGAAAATATTGTAGCTGCAGCCTTTCTATGATATATATAGTTACAAGGATAAAGTTGTATTGTCAGTTATACTCTTTTAAAGAATATCAAAACAGTGAAAACACGAAAAGCAGGTGGATGTATATGTCATCTATTTATCTATCTATATAATGTCTGTCATCACCGCTTTCATTGTATTTACCAGTACATATACCTGTATTTCATCTTGTTGATCATAGATAGTAAATGAAAACTCATATCTGAATGGACAACTAAGACCAATATGTTTTGAATGATGACTTACTTGAATATCTGTTTATAGATGAGTGTCGATCAGAAGCTACGTTTCGATATACTGTTGAAAATATAAGTAAATTAAAAGAGACGGCCCTCAGTCCTCCTTGTATGGTCCGAAATCTTCCATGGTATGTATAAATTAATGTATTTTAAACCATTTTACTTAAATCATGAAATTAAAACTTGTATGAATTGAGGAGGCTTAGTAGTATTTAAAATGAGCTTTATTTCATGGAGTTTTCATTAACTTACATGATTTGGAAATGTATTTTAGGAAAATTATGTGCCAACCTAGACCCAATACAGACAGACACAACCAAAAAACTATGGGCTTTTTCCTTCAATGCAATGCTGAATCGGATTCAGTGTAAGTATATGAAAAAGAAAAAAATCCCTTGAGAACTGTATATTTTCTCTGTTTGCTTTAATACGGCTTTCCTCTTAGTTAACAAATCTATCAGTTGTTTTATTTTAAATAAACAAAAAAGTGTGCCCTTTTTATAAAGGTTTTGTCACTTTTTGGAGACTTGTATTAAAATCTGAAAAGTACAGATTGAACCTTGGATACTTGAGTTATGCAGATATTTTAATGTTACTGAACTTTTTTAGGTCATGGTCATGTAATGCATCAGCCACTCTCAGGCTAATTAACCAGAACAATGAGTCGGAAAGCCACACAAAAAGTAAGACTCCCATTTTACTGTAAACCTTTTATCTGTATTTGAGAAATACAAAGTTATTCTTGCTAATGTTTTTTGATAGAAATAGGGCTGGATATCAACTGGAAATTTCGCATTGCGATATATTGCGATATTTTTAACTGTATTGCGATATGTATTGCAGTATTTTAAATGACAGTTACAAATGCAATTTTTCCTATTTTATCAACCTCCATCTATAAGCACAGTGTGTTACAAAACAGTTCTTGTTGATTTCACTATATTTCACCATACAACAGCAACCTTACCGTTTGGTATTGTTTAGCAGGATTGAAAATGTTCTTGACATATTCAATTTCATATTTTATTTTTGAAATCTAAAGCCCAAGCAGTTTGCCAGTATATTGGTTCTGGAAAAACATATTGCAATATGATATTTTTTGTTAACAAATCGCAATATACCAGAATATAGATATTATTGCACAGCCCTAGTTAGAAACTAATCATTCACAATTGAACAGTGTTAAAAATATTTATAGAACTAGAATACTAGAAGTGCAGGAAATAAATGTTTTAATGATAGAATAACTGTTTTTACTATTATTATTTTTTTGAATTAAGACTTGCTAATTATCTGACAATTGCAGACCTGTTTACTCTTCCGATTTCCGTATTTTGTATGGATTTTAAGTCCAAAATATGTCTCATGTTTTGCTATTATGAAAATATGGAAATCGGAAATCTGTTCGTTTGGATTATAGCAGTTAGTTTTCGTTATGATCTGTCTCAGTTTGACGCTTTTTAATCGCTAAAAAAAGAAAGATTTCAAACACTTCAGTGATGTTGGGTTGCAAAAATGCAGTGGTTTAAGGTCAGACGATACGTTCCTCCTATATATATTTTGTATATCTTCGTATTGTATGGAAAATATTCAAAATTTTAAATACTTTCTTATTTCTAAACTGGTTTCTGATTGTCTTTAAAAACTGAAACACTAAAAAGTGTGATATTGGCAAATTAATTTTTTTCCAAAAGGATTTTATAGGAAACAACATCAGAAATGTAGTTGTTCTCTAGTAATATATGTATAATCGATGGAAAGTGAACTCTTACTGGCAAATGCCAAATCTCACTGACAAATCTAATAAAAAATACCGAGAGACAACAATATGTGTAAACAGGTCTGCAATTGCAGGAAGTTTTATTAGCATTGGCTTTCCATTTCCAGAAATCCAGCACTTGTTCTACAGTAAAGAAAATGATTGGGGTTATAGTAATTTCATTGTATGGAGTGTAAGTATGTCAGTTTCTTGCTTTAAAGATGTAACAGAAAAATTTAAATCAATAAGAAAAGATGGTAAAAGATTAAGAATTCTATTAATTTAGAAAAAAAATGAAGAGTGATTATGAGAAAGAGAGATGTTTGTCATGATAAAACTTGGCTTTGTAATACACAGGATCTGCTGGATCCTAACAAAGGCTTTGTGATGGATGATAAGATTACACTTGAGGTTCATGTTAAGGCCGATGCTCCTCATGGGGTTAGGTAAGTGCTACATGTATGTTAATTGGAAATTACTTTTTCTAATTCAGAATTCTGATTGGTTTATGCTTGAAAATGGAAGAGAAATTATCTTGAAAGTGCATGTTTTTCATTGAGTACCTCATTTTCAACAAACCTGTATACAAGTAGTAGATTTTGCCCAAAGGTTCATAATCTTGGAATTGTGCCTCATAATTTTCTAAAACTCCTAATTTAGGTAATGAATTCTAATATTTTATTACAGTTGGGACTCAAAGAAGCATACAGGATATGTGGGACTTAAAAATCAAGGTGCCACATGTTACATGAACTCCCTGTTACAAACGCTGTTTTTCACCAATAAGTTAAGGAAGGTACAGTTTTTATTATCACTTCTAAAACAATTAAAATTTACACAATGTTCATGTTTGGGGAAAATATTTGAATTGAAAGTATTACGAAATATGACAATAAATTACTCATATTGATAGCTAAAAAAATTTTCTTTGGTTACCACTCTCTTGGTCCCTGTTTGTACAACATACATGTACATTGTAATACAGTTTAAAATAAAAAGATGCAAAGTTCCCACCATAATAATGGTATGTGTTTTGATATTTTCTTTTTATTAAAGGCAGTTTACCTGATGCCCACAGAATCAGATGATAGTGAGAGGAGTGTGCCTCTGGCTTTACAACGTGTCTTCTATGAACTTCAATTCAGCGATAAACCAGTAGGAACCAAAAAATTAACGAAATCTTTTGGGTGAGTTTTTTTTGTATGTGAATAGATAGGCAAACTTACTAAATCATTTGCTTTCCCTATCACAGTAAAACACACTGTAGCTACATAAAGTGCCAGGGACCATCAATTTTGATTCGTTATAAATGTAATTTGTTATATCTGTTCGATTCACAACACGTTTTTAAACTACGGGGAATGAAAATCACTTTGCTGTAAGCGTTAATTATAAGCATGTTTGCTTTAACCATGTTTTGATGTACATGTATATCAGTTAAAATTTATTATTACCTTTTTTCTGCCACCACATCATTTGGTTAAACTGTTGACTTGACTCCACAGCCCTGTTTATATCCCAGATTAAGTTGGTAGTAGCTATAATAAAGCATTATTAAATAGATAATATGTTGACCAAAGAAGTGTGTTACACTATTTGATATCAAATTCTACAGCTGTCGTGAGCAATGGAATGTTACTTATCCTACTTGTCATCTACTGTGGGGGAAATTAGCGATTAGGGTTTCTTTATGAAGTTTGAGTTTCATAGGTTTGAAAAACTGCATACTGTGGGTATATATAGGTAGCCGACAAAAAGTCATAGACTTTCCCATTGGAGTTCTAAGTTTTCAAAGAACTTCAGCTACTTTTTGAATAGTATGTACAGATTGCACTCATGAAGCATAAGATGTTTGTCCTTTTGCAGGTGGGAAACACTAGACACATTCATGCAGCATGATGTACAAGAACTCTGTCGTGTGGTAAGTGACTTTTTTAAAGCTGTTAAAATGGCAAGAAGTACGGTCATATAGGTTATTGGGACTTAAAACACAGAGACAGATATATATATAAGTGCATTTTCTGTGCCCTGTAATTATTTCATGAAACTTGTTTCTTTCAATGCATGTGTATATTTTTTATTGTAGCTGTTAGAAAACATGGAGAGTAAAATGAAAGCAACTGTAGTAGAAAATACAATTCCAAAGCTGTTCGAGGGTAAAACATTGGTAAGTGTTGAATTATAATGACTAGATATATGCATGTAGAGTGAAATTTTTTTTTTCTCATAAGAAAGAGTTCTAATGTCATTTGCACCATTGAAACATACTGATTACTTGATGATGGTAGAATCGATTTCTTATTCTGAAATATTATCTTTAAATTTCAGTCCTATATAAGATGTAAGCACATAGATTATTGTTCCAGTAAAGAAGAAGCCTTTTATGACATCCAGTTAAACCTGAAAGGCAAAAAAAGTGGTAGGATATTGTCAACATACTGTTCAATTAATCTTTCTCTGCTTATTTCGCTAAGAAATTAGTAAGAGAAATCGTTTTAATCAAGATTGTACATGTATTTCTCTTTTTAGTGTATGAATCATTTCAAGATTACATAAAAGTGGAGTCACTGGATGGGGAGAATAAGTATGATGCTGGTGAAAATGGGCTGCAGGTAACATGCTTCATTTAAAAGTTTTCTAAAGCAATGAATGTTCATGTAGTGTCATTAATCACAGGTTTACTTATGAATTAAAAAAAAAATAGTAAACTATTTAAAAATTTTACTGCAAACACTTTGTGTAATTTATAGCTGTGCTTTGAATGAAAAGGATTACCATTTGAAGCTTATTTTTAAGCACATGAAATGCAATTTGTTCAAGAAATACTGTAAGGAAAACTACTTTGGAATCCTCAGTATAAGTACCAAGGGTGTCAAAGGATAAAAGAGAAATTAACTGTTCTAGAATGAAGAAATAAATGCTTGGTTTGTTAATTATGATGGAGTTAATCTTGCTTTGAATAGGAAGCTGAGAAGGGCGTGTCTTTTTTGAGTTTCCCTCCAGTGCTTCACCTTCATTTATTACGGTTTATGTATGATCCAATGGCTGACGCCTATGTCAAGATCAACGACAGGTAAGCCATAAAACAAGTCTTTGGTAATAATTTGTATTTGTTATGACTAATTTAAATAAATTATTGAATCCTTTTTAAGAATTTTATGTACATCTGAGTTTAACTTTTTAGTAATTGAATATACATTGTAAATTTCGCATACTGTTATGTATTTCAAATAGGGTTGGATACCGGTACCCAGTACCAATACCGTACCGAATAGTTACTTCAACAATACCGGTAAAATACTGTTTCATTTAATACCGGTAATAATAACGGTATTTCTTGATCTTTGAAACATTTTAATACATTCAAAATGATTCTTAAAAAAGAGATTCCAGACTCGCTAAAATAAAATTCTCCACGCATTGAAAGGGTAGGCTAATTAATGAAATGGATGCTTAGTACGATACTTGCTTTTGACTGCCGATATTTGAGGTAAATCAATATGTACAGTATATTTAAAAATAAAAAAACATTCACATTAATCATATTTTAATTTCATTTATAAAAACTGATAATAATTGTAAATAAAAAATGCAAAATGTCGCAAAAGTGTTATGTGCATCTTGATCCATTTTTAATGTTTCGTCATTTAGTGCGACCAAACAAAATGGGTCCTAGCAAGTGGCAACCGGGTGAAGCAGTCAGCTGTATCTAGTTAAATTAATTTGTTTGAGATTGAATTTATTTGTTTTGTTGATGATTTATTAAAAGATTGAAATATAACATAGTTTATAGGCTCATTTTAGATTATAACATTGAATGGTTGAAGATTGGTGAAAGCACATTTGTTATAAAATGAGCCTTCATTCTCATTCATCGAGGTATAGTACCGTATCATTAAAAATACCTTATCGTTTTAAAAATACCGGTATGGTATCGTACCGTTTCATCCTTAACGGTATCCAACCCTAATTTCATACAATGTATAGACTGTAGCTAATTTGTCACTGAAGTCTTAAAAGATTCTTATCTTGTTGGCATTCAGGTTTGAATTTCCTGAGCGACTAATTCTAGACAAGTTTCTGAATCCAAAAGAAAAAAAAGATAAGACCCCAGCCAGCTACATTCTACACGCTGTGCTGGTTCACAGTGGGGATAACCATGGGGGTCACTATGTCGTGTACATAGCTCCAAAGGGGGATGGCAAGGTAACTTATTAGATCATTGGCAGTAGCACTAGAATTTCTTCGAGGTAGCTATCTTCATGTAGGAAGGAAAACCTTTATGTTGAATAATTTTTTGTCACAGATTGTCATTATCCTTTCTGTCTGAATTAATTTCAACAATATATGTGCATATGGAATTGAAAATAAACTGAATTTGATTGTACAAAGAAAGAGATACTGATGAAAATTTATATTTTTCCAGTGGTGCAAATTTGATGATGATGTGGTCTCAAGGTGCACAAAACAAGAAGCTGTAGACAACAACTTTGGAGGACATGATGAGGAGGTGGCAGTCAAACACTGTACAAACGCCTACATGTTGGTGTACATACGAGAAAGCTGCTTAAGTAAGTCTTACATGTTGGTGTACATACGAGAAAGCTGCTTAAGTAAGTCTTACATGTTGGTGTACATACGAGAAAGCTGCTTAAGTAAGTCTTACATGTTGGTGTACATACGAGAAAGCTGCTTAAGTAAGTCTTACATGTTGGTGTACATACGAGAAAGCTGCTTAAGTAAGTCTTACATGTTGGTGTACATACGAGAAAGCTGCTTAAATAAATCCTACATGTTGGTGTACATACGAGAAAGCTGCTTAAGTAAGTCCTACATGTTGGTGTACATACTAGAAAGCTGCTTAAGTAAGTCCTACATGTCAGTTTACATATGAGAAAACTGCTTAAATAAGTCCTATATGTTGGTGTACATACTAGAAAGCTGCTTAAGTAAGTCCTACATGTTGAGCTTCATACGAGAAAGCTGCTTAAGTAAGTCCTACATGTTGGTGTACATACGAGAAAGCTGCTTAAGTAAGTCCTACATGTTGGTGTACATACGAGAAAGCTGCTTAAGTAAGTCCTACATGTTGATGTTCATACGAGAAAGCTGCTCAAGTAAGTGCCCCCCACCACCTGAGAGATAGGGAAGATTATCATTTCTACATTCTAAAATGTTTAATTTGAACAGAATATTAGTTTCTGTTTATGTACCCTGGTACTTTTGTAACATGGTTTAAGGCATAGTGTACAATATTTTAATCCACTAACGTTGCTGAAATATAAACCTAATCACATGCATTAATTTACAAACTTCTATACTGTCATGTTTATCCTAATGAAGATTCTACCCACATTTTTGTTAGTTTTGATTATGCTAAGCTAGTGCATGAAAATCATGGTGTTTGAAGCAGAGCTTTTTCTTACCTAGAAAAGCTAACAGTTCTAGAAAGTAAAGGAATAATGTGTGTTGATATTATTGTCTGGGTTTTTGAACACTAGTTGTAATTCATTAAAAAAGTCATTTTATTAAAACCTGCATGTCTGAAGATGATAATCATTTTTTTATATGCAGAAAAGAATTCTTTAATCCTGATTTTATTATTATTATTTTTTTTTTTTGTGGTAGATGATGTTTTGTGTGAAGTAACAGAAGCTGACATTCCACAGACCTTAATTGAAAGATTAGCTGAAGAAAGGTGTGTACAATTATATCCTAAAACTTTTAAATATGCTTTCTGTTTGTGTATCAAACACATGGTGGTATCCAGTGCAAGTTGCTGTGCAAAGAATTGTAGAGAAAAAATATTTTCACAAATTTTGATGATGAATGTATTAGTTTAGAATCCAGTATTTTGACTGATGGGGGTTTCATTTGTAGGAGACTTGAAGCTCAGAAGAGGAAGGAGAGAACTGAAGCCCATTTATACATGACAATTCAAGTTGTGACAAATGACAATTTTTATGGACATCAAGGGAATGATTTGTTTGACCCTGACAGAGTGAATTTTCGAACATTTAAAGTGAAAAAATCATGTTCTATGACAGAGTTCTTGGATATAATTGCTGAGAATATGGTATGTATTTCTTTTATTTATATGTGTCATGTACATGTATATACAAGCACCTCTAACAAAACAAATATAAATATAAATTAATATAAAATGTATCTTCTAAAATTTTAACAGAAGTATCCAGTGCAGCAGATGAGAGTTTGGCCAGTTCAGAGTCGACAAAATCAAACAGTTAGGCCAACATTTTTAGATATGGATGCAAGTGCGCATAAGACGGTAAGAGGAAAAATACATACATTCATGAAAGATGAAAAAGCATAGCTGGATTTCTCTGAAGATACATGTATATACTTTTGAGAGGTGTAGTAGTATTCCTTGACCCACAAAGAATCACTTGAAATAATGCAGAAAGTTGACAGACTTTGTGGAAAAAAACAAACTTTTTTTTAGCTGTTACACATTTTATGAATATGCATATACATGTACTTCTTGTAAGTTAGGACTTACATTTTTAGGGCCACAATCATGACAATAGGGGATCAAAGTTTTACAAAGAGAAAATATTTTTAAAATTTTCTCAAGAACAGCAGGGCCATTATTAGTTATATCAATGTTCAAGCATCCTCACCTAGTGTAGATTCAATCATGATCCTTGGGTGTTGGATGGTTCCACAATAGGAAATCCTGGACATCCTCAAAATGTCAGGGGTCCTGAGTCCACTTGTGGCTGTGGAACCCCTCACAAGCATCCTTCAGTGACATCCTGAGTGTTGTTCTTATCTTTCAACCAATCACATTAAGGCTTTCATAACAGAAAAAACCTGTAGTTCATGTGCAGCAAGGTGTCAACTGCTTACTGTCTGTTTACTTTTTGTCAACTTATGGAAGCACTGATTTAATAGGTGCTTTTCAATGAGAGAACCTGCCCCCCCCCCCCCCCCCAAAAAAAAAAAAAACCAAATGAAGTTTGTCAGGGTCACACAGCCAAGAGTGGACTCGGGACCCCTAACGTTGTAAAGATAGATCCAGGGTTGCAAATAACCACTCGCCAACTCATGAATGTGAGCAATTTGTTTGTGGGCTACAAATTCTTAAGAATCTTTTTGCCCACAAAGGAGAGTAAAATTTCATCATGTTCATGGGAATTTTTCTGGAGCCTGCCTATGGTTTGATTCTACTATTAAACACACTTTTGTTTTCACCGTTTCTTACCTTCAAAAGTCAAAATAGTTTCTAGACCCTGAACTGAGGCAATATTATAACTATGTGAGGTTTTGAAGTGAAGGAAAACATGGAATTTCATACAAGGGTTGTTGAAATACACAGAAAAATGAAAGACTATGGACTACAAAGTATACATGTACTTTGATTATGATACGAGAAGATTGAGATTTTTTAACCAAAAATACCAAGGATTGTCATTGTTAAAGTATATGTGTATTTCATAATTTTAGCACTTTTGTGAATGAAAATCAATAGCTTCATGTTTGACTAATTTCCAAACGAGTCAAGCAACCCTGAAAGGATGACTGCACTTAAGGAAATGCGGAATTTGCGACAAAATAAACTTTCAAAACAAGCATTTTTCTTTTCATTGCAAGAATGGTCAACATCCAATCTACAACTTTATGTAATTACGTTTAATAAAAGTGTGTATTTACGAAGTTCGAAGTTGTTTTCAAAGGCAGGGGTCATCACAATTTCTTGAATCTCCGTTCGATAATGAGGACGCCCACTTATTTACTGACTTTATACATAGTCAGCGCATGTTTGTCTATTTTTCTACGTTTAACAGTAGTTGTATATTTGCATAAATAATAATGTGTCAAAAGGAGATTAATAGACAAACATGCGCTCATGGTTAAAAAGAGAAAAAACTGCTTCTTCTTACATTCGCTCTCTGTGTTGTAACCAAGGATTGTGACATGTTGAATATTATAATTCACCACGTGATTTCTTACCTCAGGTAACTTTGTGAATACTAAATTCCGTCACGTGACTTGTAAGGAAGCATGTGATGTGCTAACTAGGACATTGTGTTCGAACACGTTAATTCATCTGGCATTGATATAAATTTGCTTTAATTACATTGATGTGCTCATATTGTTAATTTCGTTTTGAAACCTTTGTCAGAAGTGTATTTGTGCTATACAGAATGGAGAGGGAGATTGGAAAGAGTGATCACGTTCGCTTTTCAAAACATGTCATTGTTATTTATGTACATGTAGTCTAATTTTAGAGCCATTCTTACAATGTTAGCTCCACCTCTCATGCATATCTAATGTTCAATCAAGGGCAGGTAAGTGTAAATTCACTATATTTGGAAAGCAGTAAGGACAAAAAACATTGAATCATTTTATTGTATCACATTCTAAAATCATTTTAAGATTTAAATGTGGTTCCAAATTGACAGTATTCTTTCATAAACATACAAAAGTGAGATAAGGTTTAGATATAAAAGCAACAGAAGCAACCGAAAAGGACCCAAAAACAGGCGTTAAGTGCAGTCATCCTTTCAGAACTTTTGCAAACTTGAACTCTTGATCTTTCAAAGTTTTACCATGGTCCTGTGGACTTTGAGTTATTGAGAGTCACCTTTACTTATTTAGTATAAGTCCTGCATGTACAAAACTGACAAGTAGGATGAATCTAAGGATGGGTGATAGTGATCTTGCTTTGGATGCTGAATTTACAGGACATTGTATGTGTAACTTATCTCTTTGATGAGGACAGGTAATGCATTAAGAAATAAAATGGAGAAAGGAAATTCTACAGAAAAAAGGTTTTGGTCTTTTAAATTACACACACTCTCAGTAAAGTTTAATAGACAAGTTACTATCTGCAGCCCCCATTTATTCATATATGTATTTTAAAGCATCCTTGAAGAGTCAAGCATGACCATTTGGAAAATGACTTTTTCTTTTATTAAAAGGTGCAAGAGGTAGCAGAAAATGAGAGTCCCTGGACGGTATGGTTGGAAACTCTAAGTCCAGAAAGTGGCCTGCAGGAACTTCCTGTTTTTGATAAAGACAGTATGTTGAAAATAGTCATACTCAATACAACAAATGAAAATATTTTTTAAAAAAGTACTTCTGAGATAATGTGTCTCTAAGCCATGCAATAACTCTTTTTTGTTTTCCTTCTTTAGCACTGACTGGCTTTATTTTTCAGATGATGTATTAATATTTATCAAGCTGTATGATCCAAAGTCGGCCTCTATTTCCTTTTGTGGTCATATGTATGTGCCAATCTCAGCCAAAGTTTGTAAGTACTTGGTACAAGTTGTGTTTTAGATTTGCTGAAATTATACTCAGTATTTTTCTGTAATTATGAATAATTTAATTCTGGTCATAATGTGCCATTGGGCATTTGGTTGGATAGAAAATTTAGTTTATATTGTGTAACCTGTGTTGCCTCTGTCACAGTTGCTTACGTCGAAAAGGTATCAACTTTTTGAATTGACTTTACACTTCAATTTTGTACAACTTGAAGGGAAATTGTTGTATTTATTTTACACTGTGATAAAAAATTGTAAGGAATGAATTTAATAGCTACCCAGTTATCCTTATATAACCTGGGCTGGAACAGTTTACACTTTCTTATGTACCACTTCATGGTTAATAAAGTCAGCTATGAAATTCATTCCTTAATACCTTTAACATAATACTTAATACTGAATACCTAGAAAGCTTGTTCAAAAGACCTCTCTGTATTTCAGCTGAACTGGTTCCAGACTTGTGCAGACGAGCAGGTTTCCCTCTTAACACCCCTCTAATACTCTTTGAGGTAAATAGAACCTCCAAATTGAAGAGCAGTACAATAGGAATAAAAATGGTTGTTGTCTAATTTTATATCTGTTAACTTTTATCTATTGTTCCTACAAATGTAATTTACAATAAGTGAAAATTTATTAAATGTTGATGCGTTTTATTATAAAATGTTGCATTTTATTTTAAAAAGTTTAATTATTTGAATTTCCATTCAGGAGGTGAAGCCAAATCTGGTAGAATTGATAGACGACATCAATCTTCCTCTGGAGAAGACACTAGATGAGCTGATGGATGGTGATATTATTGTCTTTCAAAGGGATGACCCTGATATTCAGCAGTATGAACTACCCACTGTCAAGGAATACTTTAAGTAAGACTGCATTGGATATCTTTGTCTAGCAAGAAATGTTTCTAATGTTTCTTGCATGTGAATAAAAGTTGATTTACAGTATAATTTAATACAAGTATAGATGAATCTTTTGCTGTTTGAGGTTTTAGAATGAGCTGTCTTGAAAAGGTAGATTATTTCTTATTGAGGCAGAAGAATAAGACAATTTGGATGGATGTCTGGTGTATTGATATTCAAACATTTGTGTTTTCAGGGATCTATACTATAGGGTTGAGGTGATATTCTGTGATAAACTTAATCCCAGTGATCCGGGTTTCTCACTGGACTTGTCAATGAGGATGAACTACGATCAGATGGCCAATGCTGTTGCCCAATATCTACAGACAGATCCATATCTACTCCAGTTCTTTAAAACACAAAGGTGGGTTTACTTCAAGGGTTCTGGTTTTTTTTTTGTAAGATTAGGTATTAGTGATGGTTCAGAATTCTTTTTCTTCTAGATAGACCTGTTTTTAACTGTAGAGGACTCAGAATACAGTTGTACAAATTGTACAAATTTGAAAATTCAGTGAGATCTCTGTTTGAACAAATCCATATTCAACTAAGCAAGATAAAGATATTTTCTCATTTTTTGTTGTTTTTATGTCCCCCATAATTGAATATTCGGGAGCATATAGTTTTTAATCTGTCTGTTTGTTAATCTGCTTGCAAAAACTTTAACCTTGCCCAAGGAAAAATTCAAGTATAGAATTAAAGAAAAGATGCAAATTATACAAATATTACATGTATTCTGATAAATTTCATTAATTTGCTTTTTGCAGTTATCGAGAAGGTCCAGGCAGTGCAATTAAATGTACTTTTGATGGAAATTTGAAAGATCTTTTGTTGTACTCAAAACCTAAACAACCTAGGAAATTATTTTATCAACAGGTAAGAGGAATAAACTGCCCATCTTCATTTTTCTCTGCTCTGTTATAATCCCTGTTTAGACAGCTTAAAGTGTATAATGTATTCTATACATTTACTACATCTAAATATAAAAATACCTTGATAGGAAAAGTCTATAGAATAAAATTGTTATCATAAGCTCTAAATAAGAATTATGCAAATGATTTTTTGGATTTTTTTTTGGGGGGGGGGGGGGGGGACTGGTCATTACATGTACATGTATTTTTTTGTTTGTTTTTGTGCTTCTTGACTTGTTTTTACACATTTTTCAGTTAAATATAAGAATCAATGAGCTAGAAAACAAGAAGCAATTTAAATGCACATGGGTTAACAGCAAATTGAAGGAAGAGGTAAGATTCATTTTCAAATTTGCCAGAATGATATTATTTTATACAGTTAGTGGACTTGAACACAGATTCAGAGTCTTTTATAGAAATATGTAGACTTCCTAAAGCAAAACAGCCAGGCTTAAATTTTTGACAAGCTTATTTTCAAGTATCAGTATGTGAACTGTAAAAAATATTTTGCTTCTAGTTCACCTCAAGCAGTATCTGAACCAAACTTGCAGATTTGATGTATGGACGCCTTGTCATTGGCATAAAAATGTAGAGTTGCTTGCTCACTTTATGTTGGAGTGATGCTGAAGCAAAGAACAGCATGTAGGGTTGCTTTTCACTTTAAAAGATATACATTTTACAAACATGCAAATATGGAGCATACTTATTCTTTCCAATGCAAAATCTAGAGGTTCCTCTGACCTACCTGTACATTTTGCTCTTCGTTGATTCTGGTTAAGGGCAGTGATCAGACATGTTTCTGGCTCATCACAATTGACATACAAACCAACCTGCATAGAGTGTTCTTTTTTAATGGTTTTATAAATTCTTGCATTTATTAGGTGCTGCATCTGCACTGCAACTGACTTAATTGAAAACATTTCTCATGAATTTGGTAATGCTTTTTTGTAAATACATGTATTCTTATTCTATGAAATTAGAAGGAATTGGTGCTGTACCCCAACAAAAGTGGAAGAGTGTCTGATCTGTTGGAGGAAGCCAAGAAACAGGTTACCCTGGCAGAAGGAGGGTCAGGAAAGCTCAGGTAAATGGGGGATCACAGGAGGAACCAAAAAAAAAAAAGAAAGGGAAATATTATAATATTGGGAGCTAGAAAAATCTGGGTATAGTAATGCAGCATGATACAGTAAAACTCGTTTAGTATGAACACGGATATAGCGAATTTACAGATATACATGTTGCGAAGTTTTTTGCAATCCCCGGCGAAATTCTTAACAATTCCTTGTAAAATTTAACGGATATAACGAACTTGGATGTAGCGAATTTGCATTTAAAGCGAACTGATTTTGTATCCCCTAGACGTTAAAAATTATGCAATTTACATCTTTTATAGCGAATTTTCATAGGTTTTAGAATTTAAAATATTGATCTGACATAATTTTCTTAGTTTTTATTTTTGAAACTCAATTTAACCAAAAAACTTTAGAACTCCAAGGTAATTTTTATATTTTATTCTTCACTAAATACATTTGGTAGTCAAACTTAAAGGAAAAAATCTATATTGCGAATTCGCTATATATTCTTTAAGGAATTTGTTACACGGATATAACGAATTATGGATATAGCGAAGTAAATTCGGAGGTCCCAGAACTTCGCTATAACCGAGTTTTACTGTAGCATTCTGTTTTGAAAGAGAAGAAGTTTTATACCCTGATAATAGAGTTGGAGTAAATGCCAGATTAATCAGTAATTTTGGAACTCCAGGGTATGCAGAAGGTATCAAATACATGAAGAAGTTAGTGAAATAACCTACATATATACATGTAAAGAATATGTGATTGTAGTAGATAACTGTATCCTATTAAACATGATATTGTATTTGACTTGTGTGATTGTTTTGTAGATTATTGGAGGTAATCAGTTACAAGATCTATTCCATACAACGTGAGGACACGCTGCTGGATCTGTTGAGCTCACAGGGTTCCACAAAAAGTTTCCGAATCGAAGAAATACCACCAGATGAAGTGACACTGAATTCCAATGAGACATTAATCCCAGTGGCTCATTTTCAGAAGGTATTAGTGTGTCCCTGTTTGACTTCCCTGGAGATTCGCATAGGAGTTTGACCAAAAATATAACCTTAATTGTGCAATCTGATTGGACACATTTTATACTGTAAATCTTTTCTTGTGTATGTTTTTTAAAAATATATTTTTTAATTTCAGGAAGTGTTTTCAACATTTGGGGTACCATTTTTATTGAAAATTAAACAGGTAAAGTGTCATTTTAATTTTTCTAGCAAAGTTCAAAGAAAAGTTCAGTTATGCTTTAATATTTTCTTCTTCTTGTGTAGAATGAACCATTTTCTGCTGTGAAGGAAAGAGTTCAGAAAAAGCTAGATATTCCTGACAAAGAATTTGAAAAGGTTTGTGTTTACTTTTTTCCACAAAACTTCGACACACTGTGTGTTTTAGTCTTATTTCAATTTTGTACACAAATAGACTACACTAAGATATATTGTATATGTTGGTTTTTTAATTTCAACAAATGGTTTTGCAATGGTTATTAAAAATAGAAATTTCTGAAAAAAGTCTTTCAAAACATTACTCCTACATTTTGGTCCAATTTCAATAAAAAGGCTCCAAACAAAGAGACTTAACCTAGGATTATCCTATTTATTGATGTTATAATAGTTTCAAGTCCAAGTGCTACTTTTCTTTTCATTTGTTGCAAGTACAAAACATTAAAGCTACAGTCTTGTCAAAGACTTCTGGTCTGGTTTGTGGATTATTTGGATGTTATTTACTAGTTTGTGGATTATTTAGTTGTTATTTACTAGTTTGTGGATTATTTGGTTGTTATTTACTAGTTTGTGGATTATTTGGTTGTTATGCATTTTGTTAATGAAAGCCACTAAGTGAAATACATGTAAATGGAGGCCATTTAAAACACATTGATCTTGGAAACTTCATGATTCCACAAATCTTATTTTTTTTTTTTAGTACAAATTTGCTGTGGTAGTGATGGGGAGAGTTGAACACATATCAGATGAGGATCAGAACATTCGAGTTGATCTCGACATATTCAGGCCTCATTCAATACAAGGTATGTTGCTTGTGTTTTAAAAGTGAATTGCCATCAAGAGAAAAAAATTTCCTCTGTTATTTGTAATGTTTATGGTTTTCTTACTTTCAGGTGCAAACATGCAAGCAAGGCCATGGCTTGGTCTGGATCATGTCAATAAAACACCCAAACGGACTAGATACAATTACTTAGAAAAGGCAATAAAAATCCATAACTGAGAAGAAGCATTTCCATTTCTTTATTTATGGATTTGTCTCCCTTAAACTGCCAAATCCAAGTGGGCAGAGGATAACAATACTAGCTACAAAAAAAAGAACAAACTCCCAGATTTATGCAGCTTTTCATTCTGAAGATCCTAGTCTTTGGTTCCGTTTGTAATTTTGACGTTCTGTGCAATCACCTGTGCTCTTGGACCGTCTTGATAAGCGTGATCTCATTATTCTACACTCTGTGTGCGTGATTACTGACAAGACAGAAGTGCTGTTATTTTGAAATTAATGTTGATCATAGATTAATTTATATACATCATTCAGTCTTTGTTTAATTTGATATTTTATTATAGTGGCTGGTGTAAATCTACGGGTGACTTGATCGTCTTCCTGCACTGCAGGTTATCCTAGGATCAGAATGATGAGAAGCCCAGTTTTAATGTAGTTCATATTTATTAGCCAGCTTTTTGCCCCAAAGTTTATATTAAAGTATGAACCTAAATATGCACCTTTTGGTGTTGTTATGAAGAATGGAAGATTGGAAAGGGATGATTTTAAAATAAAAATGAATGACATAGAGGTGGCCTGGATTAGATCCATTTGCAACTTAAAGATTTAATGCTTTTTTAAATGTTGTCTATGGAATGCATGATGTAATGTTTTATGTATATTAATTTACATGCCGTTTAGGCATAAAAAGCAATGTTACTTTATTTGTAAAAAAAAAAAACAAAAAAAAAGTAAATAAATAATTTCAACATAAATTTGAATTAAGTTATAAAATGGTACAATTTATGCTTTCTAGTTTATGCGGAGCAATATTAAATTGCCTACAAGATTTAATTTTTTTTGCAATTCACGAATAAGTGAAACTTATCTAATCTGGATGTCTAGTATTCCAAAATCTTGCTTAATATGGTTTAAACTTCCAGTCCCTTTCAGTAAATCATTAAATATGTTGTCTTATCCAAAAAGTTGTCTAATCTGGCCAATTTCTATGGAACTGCTGGTGTCCTGATTAGACAAGTTTCACTGTAGTCTTGAACAAATCAGAAAATTAGAGCATGAATTGTGGGGGAGGGGGGTAGTTAAAAAACAAACCTCTGTGCTAAAATTGGTGCATCAGGTCATTTAAGCAAAAACACATACATGTAGTATATATATGTAATACATTAAAAGCAACTTGAAATATGCTTTGTAGGTAAGCAATGTTATTTGTGCTAAACAAATAAACTGCTCAAGTTTTCTAAACATCTTTGATTAAGTGAAAACAGAATCATCAAGATAAATTTATTTTGTCCATGAGTTAACAAAGATAACATACCACTCCATTTTCCCATTCATTACATTAAATTACATAATTTATAAACAGTTATGTAAGAAATAGAGTTCATTGGTATAAATATTCAGAAGTAAATCAAAATTCAACAGCTAAAAATAATGAAAATTGAATCTTAAATATATTAATCTTGATAATTGAAGGAAAAACATATAACAGAGTTCACAATTTTCCTTTTGTCAACTTTAAGACAGTGAAATAGCATACAGTAAAACTATCAATTCACAGAATAAAGATATGTACAATGAATTAATTCTGAGGTATTTATATACTGCTTTTGTTAGATATGGTCATATTTGTAGACTTAAGGCAAATACTATTTTATTGAAGTACATTTAATGCATAAAACAGCACCTGGATTTTAAGGCATTAATTTGTTGAACATTTCATTAAAAAAAAAAACACTACCATTCATTTTTTCTAACATGAACAGAACTTGAGGAAATATCCTGTTTCTTGAGGGGAAAAAACAGTAAAGTGCATACATTGCTAACAGGTAATGCAAGCTTTAGGGGAACAAAAAAAAAGAGTTAAATTAATTTATCTAGGTAATTTAGGAGAAGCACATACATACGATATCACAGCTTTCACTTGATGAGTTTGTCAACACAGTAATTCATGTATTGACCATTGCAACAAAAACGGACTGATATGCACTAAAATTGGACACATTTACATATACATAGATAAAATTATATAAAAACACCAATAAAAATGAGGTTTCTTCGCACACCAAGAGTCAGTAATACTTAATGCATGTCTTATATACAAAATATGACATTAAATGTCTGTTACACGGTAACACCCTGTGCTTCAATTGCACACAAATTTCTTTGTTTTACAGGGAATTTGGAAGGAGATAAAATTGTGCCACATACTGCTTGAAATGCACAACAAATTTCTTCGGTTCCTAAAATTCTAATTACAATAATTATGTCTTTATATAATTGATGAAACTGATCTGTAATTTTGAATGTTGATTGATCTGAAAAGAAAGAAAGGAAATCACATTGTATTACAATTATATTTGTACACCAACTCCTATTACTTAAGGGTATTATGATACTGAAACAATGTGCAATGAAGATTTCTTTCCCATAAGTACTTAAAAATAGATTTATAGCTACAGTTGAACTTCGGTGTCTCGAACACGGATATCTCGAATACCATGGATATGTCGAAGTGGTACGTGTATTGAAGTCCCAACTGATTATTCTTTAAATATTTTACCCTGGATATCTCGAAATCATGCATATCTTGCATATCTTTTTTCTTGGTCCCATTGAGTTCGAGATAATGAGGTTTGACTGTAGCTAGTATTTTCTATTATAGAATTTTTTAAGCAATGTAACTTAAATTATATGTTAATTTTAAATAATATTCTGCAGAAACTTCATGAATAATGAAATTAAAAAAAAGAAAAGCAGCTGTATATGTGAATACATACTTGAGCACATTTTGGTTAACAATAGACACAGTTGGTGTACTCTTAGGCCCTTGAGATGGCATAAATGTCTTGCCACTCTTGTTGACAACATTAATGGAACGTGGAACTTTGACTTTGTAAGCATCAGCAGAATGTGATGGATATGGATCAAATGTTCCAGCTTTCATACCAGCAGGCTAAAAAAATTAATCATTTTATAGTTGATGAGTAGACCTTCAATAGAAGCTTGTCGTGGAACTAATTCATTAATTTTGGATGTTGTACAGCAGTTTCAATAAATAGTTCTTGAAATATATTTTCAAGTTGATTATGTTATGCAATACAACATCCAGAAAGAATTCAGCTATTAAGATATTATGAAAAATATTCTATAAGAAGATGATTTTCATAATTTTCATTGGCTGAAAGGATGTCACATGATATTTGTCCTTTTCTGATATTGATGTGAAAACGCATCCTTGGAATATGATATTGCATGACTTGCCATTTTTATACTGTAATTAGCAAATACAGCTGAAACATAGTTATGTAGAAGTCATGACGTAATAAGTACTAATAACATAAGAAGCATATTGTTTTTAACATTTTGTGAGGTAATGATCGACAGCCAAGTCAGACACAGAAAATGACCTAGCAACCTCGCAAGCTCAGTCACTATCACTTTCTGTGTCTTTGGTCAATATCACTTGACATGGGTCCATATAACTCGACCTACACTGAAGTCCATAAGTGTATAATTTTGTATATGTATATATATATATATATGACAATGAAGTTAAGATATAATTTTGGCTCCAAAGAAGAGAGATCCTTACTTTCTTTCCAGGAGAGCTTGGTTTGAAGGGTTTGATATCCTCCTTCTTTGATGGCATAGTTGCAGACCCTCCTCTGCGACCTAATTTGTCGGAGGCATATGGATTACTATCGAAATAAGCTCTGGGATGCATATTCAGTCTAAAAGCTCCAGTTCCTTTTATTGAATTCTTGTGCTGTTGTAATTCTTTCTGAATATTAAAATATGAATTAAAGTCAATTTTATATGTTAATTTTAAAACTTTTTTTTTTTTAAATAAATTTCAACAATTTCATTCATAATATTAAAAATAATTTTAGAAAAATTCAAATGTTAACCATATTCATATAGCTGTGAAAAATTAAGACATTTCTGATAACAAAAAACATTGTTAAACTTTTCGCTGATATCAATATTCTTGTTGTGAATATTTTTTCTATGGGATGACAGATTTTTACAAAGAAATTTTTTGTGATAAGATTATGAAGTGATTGAGCCATGCAACCAAGAAAGGAGGGAATAAAATTTGATTTTGTTAAAACATAGTTTTTTTTATTGCCATTTATGAAATTCTCATAAAACTTGATAGCTTTTTATATTGCCATTTACAAAATTTGTTTTTAAAACAAAAAAAAAAATATATAACATTTTTAAAGCCGAGATATGACATATTCTCTTTAAACTCGCATATATATAAATTGAATTGCAAAAATTGATTACACAAGAAAATGGAGACTATAATTTATTAGTAGTATAATTTCCATTTTGATTAAGAATTTTGGTTCTATAAATACAAGTTAAAGCTGTCCAACCTTGGTTAACTCTCTGGCTCTGTCATACGCATCAGATTGATACTTGGGATAATCTCCTAGTGTAATGCCCATATAGCTAGAAAAACACACACAGCATGATTAAAATGGAAAGCTAGGCTGGCACGATGATATTTAAAAAGAAGTGTACAAAACAGAGCATAGCTTGTGTAAATCACAATTTTACATACACCACTGCAAACAAGTACAAATATAGTTTGTTACACAAAGTCAAAAGACGTGTACTGCACAAGCTGCACACAAAGTTTGTGATATGAATGATTTGAGCATATATATATATATAAAAATTCTTAGACTTATTTAGAATGAAAAATAACTAAAATACCCATGAATTTGTAGCTCCTTTAAATTTTGATACTGTTAATGATTTTGAACAGTATATATATAATCCTTGATTTTGAAAGAACTGTAATATATTTCCTGTCATTTACAATGTTTGTCTTCAAAAATTCGAATGAGCAATTAACTGTCCCCTTTAGATAAAATGTTGCATTTTTTTAAGGGATGTTATACATTTGAAAATACTTATGGGAATTTTACTCACTTACAACTTTTTTAAAGCAATTTATACAATGATAACAAAAATTGTATGGATTAGGTAATTTTTACCATTTCTTTACAGTCATGAAATAACAGTACTTACTAGCAGCTAAATTGTTAATATTATTGTAAATCTGACAAACTTAAATATCCATAACCTATTTCGTACAGCCACCCTTCATCCCACATAAATTAACACATATATTTTGTTGGTACAAGCAGTACACATGTCATTATTGTACAAACCCTTGCTATATCTTTGTGTTTTTCATATGGATCAGGCAAGTAGTTTGGATATTTGCCAAGAGTCACATTCAAGTATCTATGTGAAAAATCATTGAATTTGAGAAAAAAAAACATTTATAGTTCCTGAAAATTAAGACTGATGAAATGCTGCTGATATTGATGCAAATATGACTTAAACCCAGAAGGAACAATTCAGTATGGGAAATTCGTCCTGTTTTAAATACAAGAAAAGTGTCAATTGCTGGTTGACTTGAATTAGTGCAGGAAAAACAAAAAAAAACCACCAGCATTTGAATTATGAGCTCAGAGAAATAAACAAACCCGGGCAATTTCTTTATGCTGATCAAATGGGTCTGACAAGTAATTGGGATATTTCCCCAATGTTACTCCAAGATACCTGAAACCATATTAGCCATGTCAACAATCTATTTTCCTCATAAACTATTTTGTAAAAATTCTGATTATGCCAGTTGACTCTAATTTACTAAACAATTCTTAAAACTAATACACTAGTGTTCAGGACATCAAAATATAATATTTTTAGGAATATTTCTAGGAATATTATGCAGATTTAACATATTTCTTTACCCAAATCCTGTGCCTCTTTTCCCAGGGTTTGTTTGGAAGTTTCTGCCTGGAGATTTGTATTCCTTTCCAGGTCTTGCGGCAGGACTAAATGCACCAATAGGTCCGCTTAGTGTTCCATAATGGTTTCCCAAGCCAGAACTAAAATTATCATTAAAAAATATTTACATTATTCATAAGTTACTCAACCCATCAAAAAATAAGACAATGTAAAACTAAAGAAATGCTAGAGCATGTACATTAGTGTCAAAAGGTAAATATAATAACTTACGGCTTTTTTTCTCCACTACTTGGTTGAAAAGGTTTTCCAATATTCTTTTGCATTTCTTTTAACCTGTGTTGTCTCCGCAATTTTATTGGATCTGTGTATGATTCTCCCTCGTATACACGAGTAAATGCCTTTTGGAAATACCCTGCCTGTAGTGCAGATCTGTCTTTTGAGCCTTCTGTTAACATTTGTTTACCCTTCTCAGCTGCTTCATTGAATTTAACTGAAAAAGAAACAATGATTTTTTTTATTATGATTTGGTTGATGTAAAATCCTTCACTTGACTTGTTACATGCAACAGAGACGTATAAAGATTTCATAGCAGCACAGACATATAGTCTTCAACATAAATTGAGGCTATATATATGCTAGCTAGGTCATCTACCTAGAGTATTCTCTAATGAGAAATAACATGTGCACATTTTCTAGTGGAGATGCACCTGGATGTCATACTCTTATGTTATTTGTTTATTCATTTATTGTACAAAACATACCATATATCATATTTGTTTGTTTGTTTGTTTTTTTTTCAGTCTGGATATATTATGCTAGCTTTATACAAAACACCAAAAACACATATGAGTGTACATATTTTCAGATGTTTCAATTGAAGAATCTGTGAAATAAATTTAGCTTACTTCCTCGCTCCTTGTATTTATCATTGATTGTTACATATCCCATCTCCTGAAATAAGCCAACACGGTCCATATCCGTGCGTCCTCCCTTTTCCCCCATTTTGGCCTGTTTGTTGCTCTGTTGTGTGATTCAACGTCCTCTTTGCTCCTGCAAATTCAATTAACCAATTAGTTTACTTAATTAAGCCGATCAGAGGTTTCCACTAAATGCATATCACGTCGGAAACATTGATAAGGGAAACGTGATGGTCCAGTTCCCTTATTGTTGGAATAATCGCTATGGAGATTGCCGTAGCGTGGCGCTAACAGGATATCCGGCGGAACATCGGAAGGCGTCGGTAAATATCCATTACTACCACTGACATTAAAAAGAAAACGCGCCAAATAACCTAAAATCGTAAGTTGATTTATCAGTATGTTATCAGTATTTTTTTTTAAAAGAGAAAAATCTTTTTTTTATGGAAGGGTATAGAGAGATTTCATGCGTAACACATAGGAATAAAAAAAAAAATAGTACCCGAATTTCCTCACTTAATTTTTCATGTTGTCAGAACTACATTGTAACTGAACAAGACTTACAACATGTACAATAGAAACTCCCTAGCATACTGAGGGCTACTGCACAATGTTCGTCAAAACTTTACTTTATAATGCAAGCTCTATATCAGTCTGTCTCGTGCATCCGAAAGTCATCTGATCTTGAAATGTTGTGGTTTATCCCTCTTTTGGGAGACAATTACCCATAAGCCCTATAGGTGTCCAACTTGATGAAGGAAAGAGTTGTACCCGGGCCTGGCTATTTATATTCGGCTTAATATTTTAATTAAAGATATAAAACTGACATTGAAAAGAAGTATGTGACTACAGAGACATATATATGTCTCTGGTGACTACCGGTATGTGTTTTTATCATCACATAAACATATATTTTTCTGTTTCGTAGCTGCCATGCCAGAAGACTCAACAGATGATGTGTTTAAGATCATTGTGGCCACAGACATACATCTAGGGTATGGTGAAAAGGATGTTATTAGGGGCAATGACTCACTAGTAACCTTTGAAGAAATCTTGGAGAATGCGAAGAAGCATGAAGCTGATTTCATTCTTCTTGGTGGAGATCTTTTCCATGAAAATAAACCACCACGGAGAATAATGCATGGATGCATAGCATTGCTCAGAAAGTATTGCTTTGGAGACAAACCCATTCTCTTTGAATATTTGAGTGATCAGTCTGCAGACTTTAAGCATTGTCAGTTTCCTGCCCTTAACTATGAAGATACAAATTTGAATGTTTCCATTCCAGTGTTTTCTATTCATGGTAACCATGACGATCCTTCGGGACAAGGCAATTTATGCTCACTAGACATTCTCCACAGCGCAGGACTAATGAATTATTTTGGTAAAACGACAAGTTTAGAGAAAATAGAAATGTCCCCTCTTCTAATGCAGAAAGGGAATACAAAATTAGCCCTTTATGGTTTGGGTTCAGTGAGAGACGAACGTCTTCATCGTTTATTTGTCCACAAAAATGTATCAATGCTTAGACCAAAAGAGAACCAGGAAGACTGGTTCAATGTGTTTGTCATTCATCAGAATCGGGCCAAGCACTCTACAACGAGTTATATTCCAGAGCAGTTTCTCGACGATTTCTTAGACCTTGTAATTTGGGGACATGAACATGAGTGCAGAATTGAGCCTGAATGGAACAGTTCACAGAACTTTTTCATTAGTCAACCTGGCAGCAGTGTGGCAACATCTTTAAGTGAGGGAGAGACAGTTAAAAAGAACATTGGTCTATTGAAAATTAAAGGGAAGAACTTCAAAATAACCAAGATACCACTAGAGACTGTTCGGCAGTTTTACATGGAAGATGTGGTGCTTAGTGAAACAGAACTTAACCCTGCAGACCATGACATTGCTAGGCAAGTGGAAGCTTACTGTCTTGAGAAAGTGGAAGCTATTTTAGAGAAGGCTTGTAAGTATATGTATAGATCTACTCAATTTTTGAAAAGTCAGATACATTTACATTTTTAGATGCTGTTTTATGTAATGTTGTTTGTAACTATTGTATTGTTCATTTGGTGTATATTTACAAGAATGCATAGAATGCATAATAGTTTTATTTATCTGTAAAGAGGTCATGTTTATCATGTTTATTGCAGTCAGGAATGTGGGCAATTGAAAGCCACATCATGGAATAGTTACGTTATTAGTTTCTCATCTTATTTATCGATGAGATAACACTGCAAATATTTTATTTTCTGTACAGCTTTGGAACACTCGGGTAACAGAAGGCAGCCCGATAAGCCCCTTGTCAGACTCCGCATTGACTACAGTGGTGGATTTGAACCATTTAGTGGATACAGGTAAAGTGTCTTGTATTATACTTAATTTAGTTGTGTTAGCTTCACAGTATAGCCTGGAGCAGGATGTGATTTTACCACATGAATGTTCTAATAACCAATGAGTAGAAGGTTTAGTGATCATCTAATTTTGTTTTTAATAGCAATGATATCATCATTGTTTAAAAAAAATATTCAGTAGCATTTTATACTGTTGTATATTGTATAAATAGTGTTTTTATGCCCCCGTATCAAAGATTAGGGGGTATATAGTTTTTGCTCTGTCCATCTGTCTGTCTATCTGTTTGTCTGTTGGTCCACAAAAACTTTAACATTGCCCATAACTTTTGATTGATTGGAGTTATGGCTCTCATATTTCACATGTATATACCTTGTGACAAGAGCTTTCTTTGGGTACCATCATATTTGACCTTTTGACCTTGACCTAGGAGTTTGACCCAGTTTTGCTATGTTTAACCGAACTTTAACCTTGGCCACAACTTTCGAACAGTTGGTGCTAGAGCTTTCATACTTCACATGTGTATTCCTTGTGATAAGACCTTCCTTTGGATGCCAACAACTTTGACCTCTTGACCTTGACCTAGGAGTTTGACCTTCTTTTGAAAACTTTAACCTTGGCCATAACTTTTGAACAGTTGGTGGTAGGGCTTTCATACTTCACATATGTAATTCTTGTGACAAGACCTTCCTTTGGATACCAACAACTTTGACCCTTTGACCTTGACCTTGGAGTATGACCTACTTTTTGAAAACTTTAACTTTTGAATGGTTGGTGCCAGGGCTTTCATATTTAATTCTTTCTATCCTTGTGACAAGACCTTTCTTTGGATACCAACAATTGTGATCCATTGACCTTGACATATGATTTTGTCCTTCTTTTGAAAAACTTTAACCTTGGTCATAACTTTTGAATGGTTGGTGCTAGGGCTTTCATACTTCACATATGTAATTCATGTGACAAGACCTTCCTTTGGATACCAACAACTTTGACCCTTTGACCTTGGAGTTTGACCTACTTTTGGAAACTTTAACCTTGGCCATAACTATTGAACGGTTGGTGCTAGAGCTTTCTTATTTAATCTGTCTATTCCTTGTGACAAGACCTGTCTTTGGGTACCAACAATTGTGATCCATTGACCTTGACATATGAGTTTGACCTACTTTTGAAAAACTTTAACCTTGGTCATAAATTTTGAAGGATTGGTGCTATGGCTTTCGTATTTCACATGTGTATTCCTTGTGAGAAGGCCTTTCCTTGGGCACCATTCATTTTGACCATTTGACCTTGATGTTTGACTTGCTTTCGAAAAACTTTTAACCTTTTCCATATCTATTCAACGGTTGCTGCTAGGACTTTCATATTTCACAGGTATATTCCTTAAGACAAGACCTTACTTTGGGTACCAACATATTTGATTTGCATTTGAGAAAGTTTAACCTTAGCTATAAGTTGCCATACGGGGGCATCAGTGTTTCACAAATACATCTTGTCCTCTTGTATTCTTTATAAATTTTCACATACAGTGTATATAAGTTTAGAAAGATTCACTAATTTAAGTATCCAAATGGTGCATGTGTGAATTAAATTTTTATTGGTAGATTCAAGGTCTTAATCAGTAAGGATTGTGTGCAAATTGCATGTTGAGACAAATAATTAAATGCCCTGATCCATGATATTCTATAGTTCTCAACAGAGAAATTATTATCTCTATCTTTGGATCATGAACAGTATGAATCTACATGTACACTGACTTTCTATTTTACTGTGAACTCTTGTTTGTGGCCACGCCCTTGTCCAGAGCCATAAGTTGAATAGAAAATTTAAAGTTAATCTATTGTGGATGATATAAGGAGTGAGAGGTTTTATTTTCACAAATAAATCACAACTACCCAAGATTGTTTCTGCCAAGTTTGTTTGAAAATAGGACGAAAATTAATACTGACAGACAGCTTACTGACAAGTTTGGTACAGAAAACTTGCTTGAAAAGTTGATACAAATTAGCTTAGATCGTAAAAAGGATTACTGGGGCAGAAACATTTTCTGGTTTGTAAAGTAACTGATTTTTAGCTCACCTCGACGAAGTCGAGATGAGCTTATGCTATACCCCCGGCGTCGGCGTCGGCGTCGGTGTCGGCGTCGGCGTTAGCGTCGGCGTCCCAGGTTAAAGTTTTAGGAGCAAGTCCCATTCCCAAGTAACTATAAGCCCTACCTGGACCAAACTTGCATGGATGATGCATCTAGGGATGAACACTACCACACTTGCTTCGGATGCTGGATCTGACCTAGATTTTCCAGATGAGTGACCAAGTTAAAGTTTTAGGAGCAGGTCCATTCCCAAGTAACTATAAGCCCTACCTGGACCAAACTTGCATGGATGATGCATCTAGGGATGGACACTACCACAATTGTTTCGGATGCTGGATCTGACCTAGATTTTCCAGATGAATGACCAGGTTAAAGTTTTAGGAGCAAGTCCATTCCCAAGTAACTATAAGCCCTACCTGGACCAAACTTGCATGGATGATGCATCTAGGGATGGACACTACCACACTTGCTTCGGATGCTGGATCTGACCTAGATTTTCCAGATGAGTGACCAGGTTAAAGTTTTAGGAGCAGGTCCATTCCCAAGTAACTATCAGCCCTACCTGGACCAAACTTGCATGGATGATGCATCTAGGGATGGACACTACCACACTTGCTTCGGATGCTGGATCTGACCTAGATTTTCCAGATGAGTGACCAGGTTAAAGTTTTAGGAGCAGGTCCATTCCCAAGTAACTATCAGCCCTACCTGGACCAAACTTGCATGGATGATGCATCTAGGGATGGACACTACCACACTTGCTTCGGATGCTGGATCTGACCTAGATTTTCCAGATGAGTGACCAGGTTAAAGTTTTAGGAGCAGGTCCATTCCCAAGTAACTATC